TCATTAGAAGTTTTGAAGAGCAGGTTAGACAACATTTGTAGGGGATGGTTTAGACAAGGATGTTCCTGCCTTGAACTGGGAATTTGATGGGATGACCTTGAGGTCTTGTGTTCCTAGAGCAAGACTCACCAATATTAAAAAGTTAAATTGCAAGGGGAGGACTTTAAAGAAAAATATTTCTTAGTATTATTTTGCTTATCCATTATCAGTTTGCTATTAGAATGACAAGGGATAATTAAAATAGGGTCAGAGACTGTTAAGTCTCCAGTGAACCACCTTTCCTATAGTAGACATGTCCCTGAAACATTTTGATTTCTTTTTGCTTTCTGATTTCTCACCCACTCAAGAACCGACAGGAGCATCTTTTGAAGATTGAAGGCTTCAGCTATTTTTTTTAATGAGACATTTACAATTGCTGCCCAAAAGAAAACATAATTTCATATAGCTCTGGGAGGCTTTCCCAACTGCCAGCCTAGTTTCTAAGGAGACCAGTTCCAGCACTTCATAAATAAAGCTGTTAGCATTTTTCTCAAAAAATATAGTCAAATCTTAAAAGAAAGATTTTTTTTCTACCACAACCTCAGATTATATGAAACGGTAGAGCAACACAGCAGAACAAGAGAATCTAAGATGCATCTTTTGCATTGTAATAGCTTCATTTTAAAGCTTGATTTCAGTATGAATTCTGCATTCTGTACAGAAACACATGATGTTCTGGTTGTTCTAATTCTGTGTACAGTCTAGTTCTACACACAGCTTTTCAGTGTAGATGTATTTCTTTTCCTTTGACTCAAATGAAGTAATAGTACACAAATGTGGATAGCTCCTTCAATTACAATGTAAGAAGATGGCAGTGGTTATACAAAACACTTCCACCTTTTAGCAGGTGCTGATTCTGCTTACAGGATTAGATATTCTTTGCTGGCTGATGTGGCAGGCAGCAGTATACCTCACTTGAACATGAGCAGTAAAAGTGGCTTTTCAAACAGAGGATCTTGTGTGTGGGCTGAGAAATCTGGAGTGAGGAACCCTAAAAGCAGACAATTTATTTTGGCCATGATCCTGCAATGTGTAGTACTTGGGAGGAGTATTGGCCTGCGCAGACACTTACTGATATTAGATATGCTCAGTGCATCAGCAACAATCAACCTACACGTTATGCCTTGCAAGATCAAAGCAAAACACATTTCTCTCTTTATAAACAAAATCCTATGGAGGAAGTTAGTTTAAATTTGCACGTTGTATAGCTGGAGTTGGAGAGTGAGTTTGTAAAGGTACTTTCTGATCAAGAGATGCACAGTAAAAATAAACCAGTTAAAAAATCCAACACAATAGTTTTTAAATTAATGAATATCTTGCTGTCATCAGTATACCTATTGTTGTATGAAGGAATGTATGTTCAGAGTCAGAAGGGTTTAATCTCTTCTTTGATACTCCAAGATAATAATGCTCTAAGATACAACTGCTTTTTAACTTCCAGATACATTTAATTCAATTCCAAATTTCCACTGTTAGAAGTCATCTGTGGCACAAAGTAATTACTTTCTTCTTTGGCCACAAAATTAACTTTCCCCTACATTATTTCCATGGGATGTAATAATTTCATAATTCCTGCCAAATGCAAGATTTGTTCCTCAAAAGTGGAAGAGAGCTTGTCTATGGATTGTTTCTAAATTTTCTCATGAAGATTTGTACTAGAGTACAGGGCTGAGGCTGTTAAAATGCAGTTAGCTTTGCATGCATACAAGCATTACGTTTAGATTGCCCTAACTGTGCAAGCATTTGCAGGACTCAGTTTGCCTACAACTGGCATGCCTAAATGAGAGCCAGCTTTAGTTCAGAATGGCTTAACCTGACTTAAAATGGATTAACCTGACTTAATGAATGCTTGCCCAAGTTGCCCACCTTCCTCTCACAGCCCTGGAACTGGGAAAGCTCAGGCACTCTCCACAGCTCCAGAGCTGCCCATAAAAAATGGAAAATGAAAATGAAACTATAAGTCAAACTGAAAATTATGGTGTATAACATGTAAATGTTAAAGCAAACAGCAGACATTATGAAAGTAAATGTATATTTAAATGGTAAAGAAAGTTGTTTTATATGTTTGTGTGAATACATATTAATACATAAATACAAAAATATATACGTAAGGGTGTATTTGTAGGCATATACATAGATCCACAGATTGTATATAAACCTGGCAGGGTCACTTTACAGTATGGCATGTATTTCTACAGAAAGCGATGCCAGAAGCTGGTAGGTTTCTGAATTGAGTCCAGTACTCATTTTGAAGTTGTATTTGAGAATAAAAATGCTCAGTAAAGTTAAAAAGAAAATGGAGAAAGAGAAGTCGTTTGGGTTTCTCCTGATTTAATGCTTTCAAAAATTAGATTGATTTACAGAAAACTAATTTAAATAACATATAAATAAATAATGTTGATTTATATCAGATCAAAGAAAATGAAGTTTTCTTCAAATATTTAATTATTCTTGAAAATATTTTAGTAGTCTTGGTTATGAGGTCATAAAATGAGTCTTCTAAGGAAATAACCTGAAGTGAAATTATGTATGTTTGTTTTTGACTGCCATTAATTGGCCTGTTGGCCCCAGGATAGCAATTGCCATAATGACTTTGCTCACTAAATTTAATACACCTATTACAACTATGGAATATGATTTGTGATATATTAACTTCATATGAAACTCAACCTGTTTCTCATAATGTTTATTTAGCTGTCTTCTGTTATATCCTCCCACACACAACTCAAAAGCCTCAGATCCTTCAATATATTGGCACTTTTCATTTCCTTACAGTCCCTCATGTGCAAGAGTGATTAAACCCAGAACTGGGTGAGGAACAGCACATCCACCCAGCGACAGTGTTTGGGAGGTGTACATTTGGAAGGAGTACATTTCCCTCATCACTGGTGCTTTAAGCCCTTGCCAGTAGCTATACATGCAGAAGTCTATGTAATGCATCTCTTACTATTGCTAATGGAAACAATATACTTAAATCAATTACATAAGCATAGGAGTTTCTATGGACTGTTTCCATAGAAAAATATTGTAAAATGGTTCAGGTATGACCAAGCCTTTCATAAGCTGCCTAGAGAAGTGAGTCCTGCAGGCAGTCATAAGCAAAGAAATGTTTATAGTTGAGAGTGGGTCTGACATTAGAAATACTGCAGCAGCTCATGTTGGGAATGGGCATAAGGACATATGCAGCAATTTTTTTCTGAGAATATATCTATATAACTTAGTATTGGCAGTTTAACAAAAGATGTGGTTTTAAACTGATTTCATTAAATTAAAGTAAACATTTAATTGAATTTGAAACCGGGTTTATCTTGATTTAGCTGTAGTTAATTAGGATTCCATAGGGCATCTACATGAGACCTTTACTGTGGAGTTACCTAATTAGCTCCACAGTAAAGTCTCAGCATCTACGTGGGTGGCCCTGTTAGGCTGCAGTAAACTAATAAATGCTGCCATAGGTTAGTACTTGTCAACACAAGTACTATCCTATGACAGCATTATTTAGTGCACCACAACACACATGTAGACGCTGACAGGGACACCTGGGCCACAAAGGTGCTTTACTACAGGGGCTGCCTGCTGGCTAGCCCCACACTAGAGCACTCTTGTGCCCCTCCGCAGAACGTTGAGCCAAGTTGGAGCAGCCCAGACTGGCAGACTGATCCTTAGGGCCTCCTGCTAGCTGGGGCTGCTCTGAGCCGTCTCGACATGCTGCAGTCCCAAGAGCATGCATAAGTAAGTCTGTTAAAAACAATACCAGTAGCTATGAATTGTGCATAAATTCCAACTAAAAGGAATTTTATCTTGCTTTGATTTCCTCATTTTTCTGATTGGGATAGGACTGGTTTCCCAGGCACAGTAGGATTTCCGCATGTGAGATACAGAATAGTTTGTACATGAAGGTTACATCTGAAAGGCAATGGAATAGAATTATTACATGAATATTTGAATCCATCTTTCTAAGTGGAGAATCTATTCTATTCTATTCTATTCTATTCTATTCTATGCTCTTGGTTTTTATACCCCATTGATCACTGCAGCATCTGAATGTCTTTCAGTAGTAATCTCAATGCATTTAACCAACCCTCTATTAAACTGAGTTTTTATATGTACTGTATAAAACATAAGATTTTTTTAAAAAGAGAACAAGAAGTTTAGGTCCTCAAAATGATTATTAAAAAAGTCAGATGTTCTTAGATTTAATAAGGAATTGCAACCTGGCACATGCTGCATATCAAAATAGAGAGGCTTTAGCAAACAGTCATAAAAGCACATTCAGTTCAAGAGAAAACTTAAAAAGGTCAATTTAGTGAAATATAAGAGTTAAAAAATCACCAGAAAATTATCTTAGAATTAGTACATTAACTTCACAATTAATATGAAAATCTTAGAATTATTTCAAGAAATCAAACACAGGACTATGTAGAATTTACCATCTGATTAAAGTCAGCCTATTTAAAAATAACTTCAAGTCATAATGCCAGTAACAGCCATCATTTTTGTGCTTGTAAAAGTATAGTAAAATAAAAATTGTAGCTTTTCATAAAATTATTTATACAGGGCCTAACTCAGATACCCCTTCTTATTTTTAAAAGCTCTTCATTTCAGAACAAGTCCCATTTTCTTCAACAGTACCTTTCATAATAAAAATAATTTTGAGGACAGCAAAGATTATCAATCTCATATACCTATTAATACAAGTCTCATTGAATTGGATTGTGCTTCACCCGTTGAGCCTTCAAAGTACGTGGGAGTTCAGCATGCTCTGCCCAGGAGGGAAACTTGACTTCTGGAATGTTAAATACTTTTGATCTTAAGAACTAAGAGTCATACACTAGCTGTAAAGCTTTTGATGATCTTCAAATGACATCAGTAAGAATTATGTGCAAGGATCAATGATACAACAGAAGACCACTCCCGCTTTCCCACCAACATGGTATAAGGCACTGTTTTTAATGACTTACCTGGTTTCATCAATATAAACGGCTTCCAGCACAGATGCTGCATATTCAATATTCTTTTTCAAATCTACCACATTAACGTCACCTTTCTCCAGCTGCTTTACCAAGCATCTTAATCTGTTAAAAAAATAAAATGAAAACATTATTGTATTGCCTAGATTCCATAGAAATCTAACAACTATTTTAGTGCCTATGTATTCTACTGGAAATTATTTAAAATGATATTACTGCCCGTTTCTATTAATTTGTATCTATTTTTAGTGCAAAAAAAACCAGTAACCAGTAATGAAGTTTTACAATTTGATGAACCTGTAATGTAAAACAATATAGTAGGTGTAAGATTCAGTAAAAAAGCAAGGGACTCAATAATTACCAACACCATTTTTCAAAATAATGTTTGTTCCTTCAGATATTGCAACTCTAATTTTAGTGGTACTGTATTTGCAGAAAATTATTTTAGCTCTAATATTCTTTATTTCTATCTTCAACAAATCTTCATCCATCAACAAAGGTACAGAAAAATGTTAGCTCCATACCTATTAGCCTTCATTTTCCTACATTTACCTTTTTAAGCCTCCAGTACACATATTTACCTCAGTTTGTTTGTTTTTATTATTAACATAAGTAAAGGTTGAGCTCTGCTACTCCCAGAATTCATTATTTTTGCCAGATGAAAGATGGTGCATTAAAAAATTGGAAAAATTTCCTTTGTGTGGTTTTTTTTTGGTTTTGTTTTCAAAAAGATCCCCATGTATTATTATATGCATGGATGCACCCAAAGGAGGTTTTCTAACCTGCAGGGAAAGGCATTAAACAAGTTTTGGTGGCAGTCAGCTTATAATATGGTGCTATTAGATCCTCAGAACACATCTGCCCTTTCTGAAGGGAAGAACTCTTCAGAACGTTCACTGGAATAGCAGCACTAGTGACTTCACAAAACTCTGACTAACAGGATTCTTAAGGAAAATGTATTTTTCTTCTTTAGTCACTGAAATTACATTCTCTGTCTCAGTGCTGAAATGAACTGCAGGATGTTATCACAGAAGAAAAACACATGTGCTTTAAATTAAATATGCCAGTTTATTATTTTAATATAATTGTAGTAAAATCATTATTAACTAGGTTTTTCATGCTTATGAAATAGTGCGAGCTTTGAGCAGAAGAGGATTTCTATTGAGAATCATTTTTATTTAACTTTCCTTCCATAAATAATTCTATATTTACTCTTCTTTTTGTGGAAAAAGCAGTTTGGTTTCTTGTCCCATTAGTCTGCACACAAGACATGCAGAAAGAATCTAATTCATTTAAAATAATGAGAATCCAATATCTGGTTTTTTTAGACAAACATTCAGTGTTTGATCACACTTGATTAAAATCTATGTATTTAAGATGAAAATGCTACCTGAAACAGAACTTTCATAATTTTTCAAAAATATGAACAACTGCAGACGAGGTGTTTTGACTCTATATTTTTCTTACATGAGTAGTTATTTCCAGGTCTCCTGGAAGGAAAGCAGACCTTCAGAAGTTTTTATAGAAAGCAATGTTTTAAAGGAGTGATCTTTCTTGTCTGCAGTCAGTGGAAGTTTTGCAATTAGCCACACATCCTCTTGTGGCTTTTTTCAGCGAGTTTATAAGCGAGTTTTTGGTAACTGGCTCATACAGATTCTGAGGTAATGTGAGAATTACATTCAGGGGCTGCCAGTTTCTTAGCCACATAGTCTATCATAGGTAAACTGACTGACTTCAATCTGCACTTGCTTGAATTTTTTAAATTTGTGACATAACAGTTCTGAATCACTGAATCAGTTTTATAACTACAGTTTTCTGGAAAGTAGCTACCATTATTTATTTGAATCCAAGATAAGGTTTTATTCTCCTAAGCAGCCTTGGGGGAAAAAAGCCACATTTTGGATTCAAGTACTGGCCTAGGCAGGTGATGATTCAGCTCTGGCTTTGGTAGGGTGACCACCTAATTGGGCAGGATAGTCCTGGAATGGAAACCTCAAGTCCCAGGCCCAGGCTGCATGACCGGGACAACATTTGTCCTGGATTCACAGTATTGTGCAGGGATCGGAAAATGGTGAGATTCCCCTTGCAGGCCAGCAGCATTCCAGCCTGCAGGGGGCTGCTTGTGGCTGCTGGGAGCGGGATGCAGGGGTTGCCATGTGCATGCCCGCACACATGCATGTGGCCAGGCAGCATAGAGAGCAACTCCCTGCAGGTAAGATTGTACAGAGAGCAGATAGAGACCTCCTTGGTGAGGGAGGGAGTGGAGCAGAGGTTGGTACTGGGGGCACTGCCCAGCTGAGGCAATGCATGGGGCCTGGAGCCAGGGCGGGGAGTGGGACAGAGCCACCAGGCTTGTCCAAGGGGCAGAGGGCGGAAGGGAGAGGGAGGCTTCCTGCTGCTGCATGCACTCCTGAAGGGAGTATGAGGGGCATGTGCCCCCCCCCCCCATTTGTGTGCAGGGCAGGGGCAGATGTTGGCTGCCTACTGCAGACTTAGGGCTCCCTGCCCAGATGCTCTCCACTTGGGAGCTCAGCACCACCATGGCCAAGTGCCCCCTGCCTGCCTGGTAGCAGCGTTGAGTTGTGCCCCCTGGTGCTGATGGGCAGGCAAGAGTACACAGCTGGTGTGGGGTTCCCGGGAGAAGGGCAGCAGGGAGCACTGGCAATGCATACGGGGTGCACACAGGTGCACATGCACCCCCTGAGATTGGCCGATGCCGCCGCTGCTGTTCTGGAAATTTGTTTTGCCCCCCTTTATACCCCCCATATCTTTTGCTCTATCTCTGGTTCTGATCTGCCCATCTGGGATCTGCCACCATTTCTCCTAGGCTGGGCTGGGCTGGGGCCAGACCAGGGCCTCTGTTGCTGCTGACTGCCCCAGAAGAGCAGATCTGCAGCAGAAGATAAAGAGACGGGAGTGGTCAGGGAATGCAGGGGAAGGCAGTTAGGCATGGAGGGACAGGCAGAAGGGATCAAGCACAGGCATGGGGGGCAGGGGTGGGGGGTAGGCACAGATGTAGGGGGAAAAGGGCAGAGGACAGGCTGCAGGGGGAAATCAGAGGGTGGGGGAGGAAGGAAGTGGGGGACAGTCACAGGCATGCAAAGCAAGGGACAAGGGGCAGGCACAGGCATGGAGAGGCATGTGGCAGGGGTGCACATTGGCAAGGGACAGACAGCAGAGAGGCCTGGAACAGTGGGACAGACATAGGCATGGGAGAACAAGGGCAGGGGAGCAAGGGGCAGGGGTCTGGCCTCTTGCCCCCTGCAGCTACTTTTTCTGCCACAGCAGTGGGAGTGGAACAGCTAATTTAAGAGAACCTTCCACTAATTAGATGCCACATATGAAAATTATAACAAATTTCTAGTTCTCCGTGTACAGAATCTAATTATGGGGGTGGGGGGATATTAAATTTGAAGTCATCTTGGATTTGGGTAAATACAATGATTTACATTTGCGAAGTGAGATCAAATTCAGGCTGAATGGCAAATACATTATGTATGTACATTACAGTAACATGCTCCAAAAATTAAAGTTGCTCTGACTTCACTAATATTACAAGCGAATATACTCAGATCAGCTTAACTGTTTACACTTTGTCTGCAGACACCTAAGTAGATTATTCCAGATCCATTTTTCTGCACAATTACCTTACACCTATTGCTGGATGGAATACTGAAATCTGTTTTCTTCTATAGATGCATTTTCATGAGCTGAGTGGGTGGCTTAAAATGGTTTATCCCAAAACAGATTCTAAATTAAAGTAGAAAAAGTTAAAAATCTTAAGCAATAAACCCCTAGGAAATCCATTAAGCATTTCCAAAGGTATGAAGTCATAACTGCTTCAACTGAAGAGATGTGCAGTAAGCCCTCTTTAATTTCCACAGCTATGAAGGGATTTTCCATAAACTAGTAATAATCAGGCTACACTACTGATAAAATTTTGCCCAACTGTAAGCAGATGCAGTTCTTCAGAAGCCAATGGCATTGTGCCTGTTTATACAAGGGATTAATCTGAAAGTACACACAGAGATGGAAGAGAAGAGTCAAAATAGCACTGCTGGGTATTGAAATAATACACCTGCCATTTGACTTGCTTATTTGTTCAAGCAAAGAAGAAAAATATTCAAAAAACACAGCTCTTTAATTAAATGAATATTACTGATCTTCAGAAAATGACTGAGTAGCTTTTTATACTGAGATAGCACTGCATTATGCAAAGCTTTGAGCAATTATAGTTCACCAGTATAAATTTATTCAATGTTTTAAAGAACTCCCTGCTGTATGTTAATGAGAACAGGGACCACATATTATCAGTACAGGTATAGTCACAGGTTATTTATTATCCACTCTAAGGAACCTAAAGGAACATGAAAACCCTATATCATCTAAAAATTATTTCTTACTCTCTTTATACATAGCACCTAAATTTACTTTTTAATGTAAAAAATTACCATTATAAAGAAATAATGTTCCCTCTTTCTCCCCCCCACCCCCCAACTCTATTTTGTGCATTTGGCAGCACTTCATGTATAAACAGTTTCACCATTTGGCTGGTAGTCAACTTCAGTTCCTGTTACTTAGACTAAAGCTAGGAACAAACATTGCATTTATCCCTGGATAAATTGTGCCTGGAACAAAAATATCCTGGGATTAGTGTATATACACATCACCCTTCTAATCAGGTTTTAGTGCAGGGATGGGCAAAATACAGCCTGCAGGCCAGAAGAATCCTGAAGTAAAGTACTCTAAAACAGCGGCTCCCAACCTTTTTTTCCTGCAACCCTAAATTTGGGTCATGACTCCTGCCCCTGCCACTGACTCACTCATGCCCAGCGGTGCCAGCAGAGCCCGGGCTGGGCCAGGATCGCAGTGGTGGTGAGAGCCGCGCAGACCGTGCACCAGGAGAGCCCACAGGCAGGAGGGGGAGAGCAAGGGGCGGACCCCCCATGATCCTAATTTGGGTCATGACCCAAGGTTGAGAGCCACTGCTATAAAACAACACAACTTAGTCTTCTTCAAAATGTCCTTCACAATGTGGCACCCAGCTTTCCCTGAAAAATACCATCCTAAACAAAGGATTCCTACTCAGGGTGTTGTTACATGTT